CAAATTAGATTACAAATATTCCAGCGTCCTTAAATAGCAGGAAAGAAACAATACAACTCTGAAAAAATTGTGTACACCAAATTAGCTATTTAAGAGCATCCCAAAAAAAACAAAATAAAGAAACCAGTAATATACTGGGTTTGCAGTTGCACTTAATCTTATTCTTTACTTGTATCTTTACCTTCCATTAAAGTAACACTGCCACATGGCAAGTTCAGAAACTGCCATTGCTGACCTCCTTAAGAATATACTATTTGTCTGGCGGCACCCAAGTACTGTACATTAGAGTCACAGACCCAGAACAATCATGCTGTAAATGAGTGTCAGAAGTGTGTCAGAATTTTTAATCTCTACATGTGTTCTGGGTCAGTGACTCTGGGCACTGAAGCCAAAATTTCAACAAGATGACCAGGGAGCTAAAATTCTCAAAAGAGTGTTCAGCAATGGGAGCCCCCATGATTTTCACATGACAGAGTGTCATTCATCATGGAAGCACCTGAATATTTAGTGCATGTTCACATCTATGCGTTCTTTTTTTTTTCTACCTGTCAGGTTTTATCCTCTTAGGACAGCTTAAAATAATCCTGAAAATTCAGAGCACAAAGATAATAGCAGCCTCCTATTTTCCACTTGAGAAAACTATTGGGTTATACACTGAGTGGCCATATTATTATGACCGCCTGACGTTTGTAGACAAATTAGCTATAATTTTGCGCTGAATTTGCTAGAGGGCCAGACCATTATAAATAGGGGAGCAGGTTGTTCACCACGACAGTAGAAGTGATTTTGTTCTGAAGATATGGGTAAACAACGCGATTTAACAGCCTTTGAACGTGGGATGATTGTTGGCGCTCTAAGCCATGGAGCGAGTATCAGCAAAACAGCAGAATTCGTTAAATGTTCAAGAGCAGCTGTTGTTAAAGTGTTTAAAGACTGGACTGTCAGCCGAAAATCTGGGTCTGAACGTGCGAATTGTGGCCGTCAGCGACTAGTCAATGTTAGGGCAGAACGGAGAGTGGCAATTCTGGTACAAGACAACAGAAGGGCAGATTCCTCGCATCACCTTTCAACATCTCATGGAGTCACGAGACGGCCCAACGAAGTCATCTCGTGGCCCAACTAAATACATTTAGACTATGCTTATGATTGTTCAAGGGTTATCAACTTTAAATTTGCTATTTCTCTAGACATGCAGTATATGTAACTGATAAATTTTTTCAGAAACCACTAATACATTCCCTTCCAATATAATCAGAATATACAGTATGCATTGTGTGTGCTCAATATACTGCAGCCAATTAGTTACTGCATGTATGTTGTGCTATGTAATGAATGATTAAGGCCTTGTTCACACCAAATGCAGAGCAGATCTGCATGAGTTTCTGCACACGCAGTGCAGTGAGTTGTGCCGCGTTTTTTGTCGTTCGGGCCGTTTTTGGTAAAAACAATAATTATTTTTTTAGTTTAAAATGGGCTTTCAGTGCATTCCAGGGTGTTTGCATGCATTTTTGATGCGTTTGCATGCGTTCCAGAGCAGGTAAAATAGGGCCTGCTGCAGTTGTATTTACCTGCTCTGGAACGGAACGCTGCAATGTGAACTGGAGGTAAAAATACCATTGGAATACATTGGACGCAGTCTTGCTCTGGTCTGTAACTGCTGTGCTCTGCTCCTGGAACGCGCTTGGTGTGAACAAGGCCTAACAGTGAGGAAGAACCTAAGATTGAAAATGCAATAAATGCTTTTATTATGTCTACATCTCTACCTTTGAAGCAGCTAGTTGTTACAGCTAATGTCATTAGGAAATGAAGACTTTTTATGAAGGAGAGACAAATGGTCCAAAGTGTATCTAATGCTTCCTCAAGGCAATCATGTCATTTATAATGCACATGTTTCTCCTAAGAGCCAATTCAGCATCTTAAAAGGCTAGACCCTTCAGCGATTTTTCCCCACAGACCTGCTTATGTTAAAGCAGCAGTGTTTTATGTGTAATGACTATATAAAGGGGGGAGGAATGAACATATAATAGTTATACAACTGAATAAATAGCACCCAGGTACAATACTTTAGATTTCAGCACTGTGTAAAGGATAACCAGGCTTGTGACATCCCTGATACTAGCCCTGCTTGTAATCCAAACCATAACACTACAGATAACCAGTGCTGCTTCAATATGGAGAAATCATTCTTGTAGTTTTATCAGGCCTCTGAAGGGCATTAACAACAACGGAATTAGACAAATTGGCTTGGGAAGTCCACCACATGTTTGAGGAATATCTTGCTATTTACCAAAAAGAGGAAAAATGTGTACAGCAATGGGGAGGGGCCATTTTATGTGGCTTTAAGGGCAACATGAGAAAGCTGTAAATTACAGCTTTGTGTGGTCCCTTATTGCTGTTCACACTTTTACAGTATCACTTAGGCCCCTTTCACAACAGTTGCAGTGCGTTCCGGCATGATTCTGGCCAGAATTCACTGCCTCACATTGCGGGTGGCTCACTTTTTAGTGGGGCAGGAGGGGGCGTGACGGGCCATTGAAGTAAATGGCACCATAGCCACGCCCTCCGGCCGCAATGCGATCGCCTGCACGGGATCGCAAAGCACATTGTGCCTGCGGTCCGGGTGGAGCACTCAAATTAGTGCTTACTGCCCCACTAAAAAGTGAGCCGGCCACCAGAATCGGTCCGGAACACACTGCAACTGGTGTGAATGGGCCCTTAGGGTAATTTCTGGGATTCTAAACAGCAACACCGTATGTTGACAGTGCATACTTTGGTCCATATGTCAACATTTTGCTATAAATGCCTTTGTTTGTACACAACATCATCAGTACTCCAAGAAACATTTTTGAAGAATTAGTCAAATTAAAAGGTTTTTCTCTTGTAATATAAGCCTTAACTGGCATCAGTTTAGCAAACAGTATTAGCCATGCATTAGTATGCTCCCCCAAAACCCTAGTTCAACATTGTCAGTGGGCAGAAAGGTTGTTTTCTTAGTAGTTGTAAAAAGGATTGTGAGCTAAAACATGCAGACATTGACCTAACAGCAAGCAGCTATCATGGCAACCAAAAATTAGAGCATCATGGATTCTGGGTTAAAAAGTAGCCCATTGCACCCCCATTTTTATGGAATGGTATGACAAAGAAAATATAGCTGTCTTGGTATCATAAAATTAGAGTGTCAGCCCTTGGGTATGTATTGGTATAATTTTTAATTTAGCATCATATGTGCTACAAGATTTGGATGGGAGCACCAACAAGTCTGAAAGGTCAGGCAAAGGAACTTGAAGGGGTTTTCCACAAAACGCAAAAAACATTCTTTAAAATGTAAAAAATATAAAATGAATTATTTATTTTTATGCATTTCTTTATTTGTCTTTATTTGTTGATTCATTTTGTTTTGGGGGGAAAACAGAACAGGGCGGTGGGTTGTAAGTAGGGTACGGCAGAAATTGGCTAGGTTGTTAATTACATGTAATTATGTAATTATTGATAATAATTACAATAATGTAATAATGTCATTATTGATAATTACATGTAGTAAGAGGACTATGGAGGCAGGAACAGTATGTACTCTTCATTTTGTTAATGTATGCTCCATCACAAAGAGCATGTGGCAGCTAATCGTGAAAGCTGCCAGGGGGTTTGGAAGGCACCTGGGATCCAAACCTGGTTTATTTTGATAAAGTTCAGGAGGAAAATCATTGCCTGCGGACAGGAGGATGTGTCTGTCAGGTCACCACTCCTCCAGCTGTGATGAACATCCATTTAAAAGGACACTTGCTGCAGAGTAGGCCAGCACCTCTAGTGCATGTTCTGAAAACTCTAGCCACTGGTCCATCTTAGCGA